TTAAATGTGTGCAGCCTTCGTAGGATGCAGCCTTCCGTTTGAGAAGCACCCACCCATAGATATTATAAGCGTTGTTGAACTGAAAAGGGCTCTGAATGAGGAGTCGATTCCCTTTGATGGATTCGACTCTCGATTCCCAACGCCTCGGAATTGCGGAATCGATTCTTTTTGGAATCGATTTCCCTGCCCTACCTTTATGTGCCTCAGTCTGAATCCAGCACTGAACAGGGAGCACCGAGAAATCTTCTAAAAACACCCGAAGGTAAGGTTGCTTAAAACAAGGATTTAATTTTCACTTCTCTGTGTATAGATTAGCCTATCTACCACAAGGTCCTCGACATTTTAAAAAGAAATTATCCACAAAAAAATAAAAGATATCACTACATTATTTTATTTTATGTAAAATTATTTGTTATTTCAAAATCGTATTTTACGTGTGTCGAGTTAGATTAGGGTTTCTGTTATCGACTATTAAATTAACAGATGAAGCCAGTGTCCAATGGCCATTACGCCCTTCATACGCGCTGCGTACGTTAACATTATTTTAGCGCAACGTTAACGAATAGCCTTATAAGAAAATTAAATGAAGCTTGGTTGATTAATTAAGCCTATTATTTTGCATTCGTTCAGATCATGTGTAAGTTGTCTAATAATGTGGCATGTTAATTTAAACCCCATTTTGATTGTTATGCTAGCGGCTAGCAGGTTTTTCTCATGTGAACCTCTCGTATCTTTTGTTGTTGTACTGAATGTGTTGACGTTTAATTATTAAAAAAGTACACATTTTAAAAGCGCATTTCCTTACGCTAAGCTGTCTTTATATTTATTAGTTGCGAAAAAAACAAATAACATTGGCCTTGTTTGGAGCTGGCATTCACCGACATAAACAAGATGGGCTGTAAGGTGCTGTGTCCCAGTGTTGCTCTCCTTGCTTATCTTATGATCTGTGAACATGTCCGAGGTGAGTATCTATCTATCTATCTGTCTAGATCTTTAATGAATTTTAACTACGATTACTACGACACTTAAAGCTTTGTGGCTTTTGGTGTATGTGTGTTAGCATTAAGATAATCTAACGATAAATGCTAGTGTATAAAATTAACCTGCATCAGATATACGGATTTAACATTTACAGTCTCTCTGTCTTCTGGCAATACCATACAAAAATATTCATGACGCATAACGTCTCCGGTTACTATCGTAACCTAGTGGCGCTTTTACACTGCATGGTACGGCTCGGTACGGTTCACTTTCGGGGGGTATTCCACTGGGTACAGTAGTGCCTGGTACCTGGTACTTTTTTTAGTACCACTTCGGTTGGGGTTCCAAGTGAACCGTACCGTTAGCAAAATGTGACGTGTAAACTCTGCTGATCACGGATTGGCCGGAGAGAATCGTCACTACCTACGTCACTGAACTTGCGACACAAACACAAAAGAACCGCTAGATTTAAATCAGCACAGCCAGCGAAGGATCGAATGCAACTGTTTTGAACGAGCCCACCTTTTTTTTAACAACTAAAAAGTTTTGTTGTCTGTTGCAGAAGTACAGACGTTCCTCTCGTTGATAGCAGAGGAGCGGATCCAGCGAGAGCTTGATGGGGCGATGCGGAATGAAAAAGTTGTTTTTAGGAGTCGTGGTAGTAGAGGCGGCGCAACTATAACGACATGTGAATAATCCCGCCCACTCTAAAGCGGTACTGAACTGCAGTGGAAACGCGAACCGTGCCTTGCCGTACCGAGCCAAGTCGTACCACGCAGTGGAAAAGCGCCATATGTTCCCTGATTTCTCCGTTATGGGAACACCTTCCCTTCCAACCTTTCCTGAAGTAAAATTTCCAGTCAACTCAAATGACTGGCCAATTGTTGCGAAGTATGCAAATCACATGCAAATACTGACACGTTCGAGAGGCAGTATAAGGCCATGTCCACACGTACACTGGTATTTTTATAAACAGTTTTTCCTTCTTCCCTTTTTAAAAAAATCTCCGTCCACATGAAAATGCAAACGCATGCTATGAAGCACTGTCAAGAGCATGCCAAACCAACAGATGGCGATATAATCTCAACCGTAAAGCCATGTTGGCCAATCAGAAGCCTGAAAAAGTCTCCAGTAGGTGGAGATAACAGCGCAGACGCTGACGTCACAAGCCAAAAACTCCAAAAGTCTACACGATAACACTGCAACCGGAGTTTTTGAAAATCTTCACCCTGGCAGGCGTTTTCGAAAAAGTTTTGTTTCAGTGAACTGGTGCTGCGTTTGCGTGTGGACAAACGGCCTAACCGCATAGAAAAAGCTGCGGTTTTAAAAATAACTGCATTCGTGTGGACAGGGCCTTAGTATTTAGTCTGCCACTCTTTTCTTTTAATAACAGCAGCTATCAAAAGATGTTGTTTTATTTTACATTTTTTTATTATAACAGAATGAGCAAAATAAATAAATAAATATTAATTTTACCTTTTCTCCGCTGTGGCTGTCAGCCATTCGTTCAGCCTTTAAACACTGGTCGCGTTCGTGTACAGCAGTCAGCTCGGTAAAGCTCTCCCAAGATCATTCTGTGTTCCCATTATACTTGATTTGTAAATACATGTCTATGATTTTGCAAAAAGGACTTTATCTTCTTGCCGGAGTTTAATGTTGTTTTGTTACTTGCTACCGGGTGTCTGTGAGAACAAAACACGGGCGTAGAAAAGACTATAAATTGTTTTTAATGTGCACAGTAACTGAAATTTAAAACTGTTAAAAGAAAGGCTCAATAACTGTTGCACAGATATAATACACTACGCATCAATTTCTCTTCACTTTGTGCTTTGCAGTTTTTAACACGAAGCACGTACAATGTGCGCATCCGGTGTGCAGGCTGTGACGCCAGGTTGCTTCAGGCTTCAAGCGCATCATTCTGCACACCGGATGCGCACATTGTAAGCGCTTCGTGCTCATAGACTGTATAAAAACAGTTCGTGCTGCACTGTATTTGCTTTGTCCTATCGTATCTATCATATATTGTTGCCTTATTAAAAAATATGCTATACATTCCGTGTTCGTGTGGACAGGGCCAAAATCAAAACGGAACTAAACAGAACCAACATGTAACATTTTGTAGGGGAGCAACAAAATTTTGTAATGAAGGCGATACCGTACAGGAAGCCAATGTAACTGAAAAACGTCTCCGGTTACTATCGTAACCTCGGCTCCCTGAGAGCGGGAACAAAACATTGCGGAGGTTTCTCTGCTATGAGAACTCCTTCCCTTCCAACCTTTCCTGAAGTCCTATTGGCTCACGCCAGTCCAGTTGACTGGCCAATTGTCGCGAAGTATGCAAATCGCATGCAAATACTGACGAGCTCGAGCGGCAGTATAAAATGCGGTGCACGCGACAATTACGTCAGAATCTGATACTGAACGCAGCTTAGCTGATCGAGCAGCGAACACGGCGACCACCGTGATGTCTCGTTCCCGCTCTCAGGGAACCGAGGTTACGATAGTAACCGGAGCGTTCCCTCTCGAGCTTTCACGAGACATCACGGAGATATTTCTCCGTTATGGGAACGATATTCAATCCCGCCATGAGAGAGGCTACGAGCAGTCTGCACAAGTCGCATACTCAGCAAATATAGAACACACGATTCCCACAACCAATAGCGATGCTTGTTAGGCGGGCTCGCAGCTGATAGGTGGAGATAAGCCAATGAGCGTCTAAAGCCCAGGTATACTTAATTTGCATATCTGGCCAGTAATAATGTAGGCTGCTCTGAGAACAGGGTAGAAGCAACAACAACAGTATAGACGGGGCTGCACAGAGATAACTGTGTTAAGCAGCATAACACATAACATGATGATGGTACACGAATTAGACATTGAATAACAGGAGCTGCACTGAGTACAGGGCAGACAACAACAACAATAGCATAGAGGGCTGCGCAGAGTAGTAACTGTGCAAGGCAGATAACACACACAAATATAGGTAGCATAACGTGAATCAAGCACTCACCGACAGCACTTGGGAAGCTAAGGACTGAATGTCCAGCTTGTAAAACATGGCGAAGGTATTTTGAGAAGACCAGCCGGATACAAAGCATATATCTTGAATCGACATACCTCTTGACCACGCCAAGGAGGAGGCAAAAGCTTGGCTCGTATAAGCAGCTGTGATAGCATCCACAATCCAGTGGGAAAGTCTCTGTTTTGACACAGCCCGGCCCTTCGTACAACCACCCCATAGCACACGAAAAGCTTGTCAGACTGCCGAAAGCTGGCCGAACGGTCAATGTAAGTCCTCAAAGCCCTGACGGGGCACACCGAAATCTGAGCGTCCGCATCACGCGAGGTCGATGACTCAGAAGACAGGGCAGACAGCGAAACAGTCTGCGCTCTGAAAGGGGTAGATAGTGATTTAGGCACGTAGCCCGGCCTCGGCCGGAGAGTGACGCTGCAGTCACCGGGTCCGAAGCGAATACAGTCACTGTCCACAGAAAACGCATGTAAATCCCCTATGCGCTTAGCCGAAGCGAGGGCAAGAAGAAGTGCAGTTTTGAGAGATAACTCCTTCATATTAACGGATGCTAAAGGCTCGAATGGTGGCTGTGAAAGAGCTCTTAACACCACCTCTAGGTCCCAGGGCGGGACTGAAGGCGGACGCGGGGGATGCAATCTCATCGCTCCCTTAAGGAAACTCACCACCAGCGCGTGCCTACAGATCGATTGCCTGCCCAGCGGGGAACGAAACGAGGCAATAGCGGCCACATAGACTTTCAGTGTTGATGGCAGAGATCCACTATCCAGTCTGTACTGTAGAAAACGCAGCACATCCGACACGGAGCAAGCAGCCGGGTCGATATGAACATCATGGCACCATTTCACAAACACTCCCCATTTCAGAGCATGCTTGTACAAAGCCCTGGAACGTACGCCTCCTTGGTGATTTATGTACGAGACCACGGACATGTTGTCGGTGCGAATCAGTACCTGTCGCTGTTCCAGCTGCGGCCGAAAATCCTTTAGAGCTAAGAACACTGCTTCCAGCTCCAAGCGGTTTATGTGCCACCGGCTCTGGGGTTCTGACCACAGCCCCGAAGCTGGCATGCCCTCGCACACTGCTCCCCAGCCGCGAGTCGATGCGTCCGTCGTGACCACAACGCGCGACGTCACCAAGCCCAGGGGAACCCCCCGGCTGAAGAGATCTGGGTTGCGCCACGGCCTCAGAGCTTCGATGCAGCCGCGGGAGACCGCGATGCGCAAACGGCCCAAAGTCCACGCCGTCCAAGGGACTCGAGATTTCAACCATAATTGCAGGGGGCGCATGTGTAGTAAGCCCAGATGACATACCGCTGCAGCAGACGCCATGAG